TTTCCCTGTCTCTCCCGCTCCTTCCACTCTCTCTAAAAAAATAAAAGAAAATCAATGGAAGGATAACTTCAGGTGAGGATTAACAACAAAAATTCATTAAAAAGAAAAAAAAAGACACCCTTGACTTACATGCCCACACACAAGGTGCAGTGAATATGTTCTCACGGGGAGAAAAATAGTAGCCAGCCCGGCCGGCGTGGCTCAGGGGTTGAGCGTCGACCTTTGAAACACAAGGTCACAGTTCCATTCCCGGTCGGGGCACATGCCCGGGTTGCAGGCTCGATCCCCAGTGGGGGGGCGTGCAGGAGGCAGCCGGTCCATGATTCTTTCTCTTCATCGCTGTTTCTGTGTGTCTCTCCATCTCCCTTCCTCTCTGAGATCAATACATATTTATTTAAAAAGAAAGAAAATAATAGCTTCTCTCTGGCGTCTGCTCTGGTCTCTGTCCTGAGGGCCCCTCTCTAGCTCTGATGTCGTCTCGCATCACGGCAACCCCCGGGCGTGAGGTCAGCAGGGCACGATCCCCCCCATTTTTACGAAGGGGACCCAGAACAGAAGGCTCAGCCCAGCGGTCAGGCCCTGGAGTGAAGGGGCAGGTGGCCCCGGGGCGGCCCCACGCGGAGGGGGGAGGCGCTCACAGCACCACCAGGCTGCTCAGGTTCTGGAAGGCGAAGTCGGGGACGTGGCGGATGCGGTTGAGGGCCAGGGTCATGGCCTGCAGGGCGGGGAGGTTGTTGAGGGCCCCGACCGGGACCTCGGCCAGCACGTTGTCATCCAGCCACAGGTGGCGGAGGCAGGACAGCCCCTCGAAGCTCCTCTCGGGGACCAGGGAGATGAGGTTGGCATCGAGGCGCCTGGAGGGAGGGAGGGAGGGAGAGAGGATGGGGAGGAGCAGTCAGGGCTGAGCAACCACCTATGAACCAGGAGGTCAGGGTTCGAGTCCCGGTCAGGGCACATGGGCTGGGCCCTATGCGGCTGGTGCCTCGGGGCCCAGACGAGCTGGCCTGTGAGGAGGGCTTGCCCCAAGGTGAGGTTCTCCCACAGGGGCCCTTACGTCGTGGAAGCCCCAGTCTTCACCCCCAAAGGCCCTCAGGCTCCATAACCCTGCACCCCAGGAAATGGACCTACTCTCCCCGCTCCCCTCTTAGGGACATCCCCTGCCTCCCCCTGGGGGCCCCCCAGGGTCTGCAGCCTGGCTCTAGACGCCTCTCCCACTCTCTCCCTGCCCCGGCAGGATGGGGTGCTCCTTCAAGGAGCTGGGGTTCAGGCTGCCCGAGGGTCCCTGGTCCTCCAGGGTGGGTGGGACGGGAGTTGGAGGAGCCTCAGAATCCTCCACGGGGGACGGGAGGCCTTCGGGA